TGTGTGTGTGTGTGTGTGTGTGTGTGTGTGTGTGTGTGTGTGTGTCCTGTGGCTTCAACTCAGGGCCTAGGCACTTTCCTTTAGCTTTTTCACTCAAAATTAGTACTCTATCACTTGAGCCACAGCTCCTCTTCCAGTTTTCTGTTGTTTAATTGGAAATAAAAGTCTCACAGACTTTCTTGCATGGACTGGCTTTGAACTATTAATTCTCAGATCTTAGCCTCCTAAGTAGCTAGGAGTATAGGTGTGAGCCACCTGTGCCTGGCTTCTTTTTCTCTTTTTAATGTGGTTACATGAAAGTTTTATATTAGTTATGTTATTCACATTATTTTTTTCTTTTGCAGGTGGGGCTAGAACCCAGAGCTTCATGCATGCTGAGCACATGCTGTGCCACTGAGGTACATCTCTGCCCTGGGACAGGGATTCATTTATAGAATAGAGGTAGGGATTTCTCAAGCTAGTATTTCCTGTCTGGGGTAAAGAGAATTCAGAAAATAAAAGTGTTGGAAACATTGTAAAGGGAAAGGAAAGGATGTGAAGGTATATTTTTCAGTATAGATTTAAGGTTAAGTGTTTCCTTCAAAGCTCTGAGAGTTAGGCTGAGAATGTGGCTTAGTGGTAGAGTCCTTGCCTAGCATGCATGAAGCCCTGGGTTTGATTCCTCAGTACTATATAAACAGAAAAAGCCAGAAGTGGTACTGTGACTCAAGTGGTAGAGTATTAGCCTTGAGCAAAAGAAGCTCAGGGACAGTGCCCTGGCCCTGAGTTCAAGCCCCAGGACTGGCAAAAAAAAAAAAAAAAGCTCTGAAAGTAAGTTTCTATAGATAGGCCAGAGGATCACAACATATTCTGGCCAGGTGTTTCTGTACAGGATCAGAGCTGGGTTCCTCTGATGGATTAGGACAGGGGTTCTTTTTGTTGTTGTTGGTTGTGGGACTTGAAGTCAGGGGCTGGGCATTGTCCCTGAGCTCCTTTGTTAAAGGCTAGCACTCTAGCACTTTGAGCCACAGCTCCACTTCTGGTTTTCTGGTGGTTAATTGGAGATAATAGTCTCATGTACTTTCCTGCCTACCTGGACTGGCTTTGAATCATGATCCTCAGATCTCAGCCTCTTGAGTATGTAGGATTACAGGTGTGAGCCACCAGCATGTGGCCAAGGGCAAGGGTTCTTATCCTGCCTCAGCCTCCTGTGTAGCTGGGACATGGGCTAGGGGTATAGTGTAGCGCAGAAAGCTTACTGAGCATAAGCAAAACCCTGAATTTCATCCCCAACAAATACAAAGTTAAGAAAAAAGGAGAGAAAGAAAGGAAGGAAGGATGATAGAGAAGGAGGAAGGAAGGAAGGAAGACACACAGGAAGGAAGGAAGGAAGGAAGGAAGAAAAAAGAAAGAAAGAAAGAAAGCTGGAGCCAGAGCCAGATGTTGGTGGCTTATCACTGTAATCTAGGTATTCAGGAAGCTGAAATTGGAGGATTGTGGTTCAAAGTCAGCCTGGGCAGGAAAGTCCACGAGACTCTTTATCTCCAATTAACTACCAAAAAGCCAGAAATGGCCGGGCACTTTTGACTCACACCTGTAATCCTAGCTACTCAGGAGGCTGAGATCTGAGGATCACAGTTTGAAGCCAACCCAGGCAGGAAAGTCCATGAAACTATTTCCAATTAATCACAGAAAATCCTGAAAGTGGCACTGTGGTTCAAGTGGTAGAGCACTAGCCTTGAGCAAAAGAGCCCAGGGACAATGCTCAGGCTGAGTTAAAGAACCAGGACTGGAAAAAAAAGTCAGAAATGGTGCCTGGCTAAAGTGATAGAACACTGGCCTTTGAGCACAAGCGTTCAGAGACAGTGCCTAGACCCTGAATTCAAGCCTCAGGACTGGCACATAAAATACATACATACATACATACTGGTCTTTGGTGGCTCTCACTTGAAATCCTAGCTACTCAGGAGGCTGAGATCTGAGGATCCCAGTTTGAAGCTAACTGGGGCAGGAAAGTCCATGAGACTTATCTCTAATTAACCACCAGAAAACTGGAAGTGAGGTGGTGGCTTAAAGTAGTAGAGCACTAGCTTTGAGTGAAAAAACTTAGGGACAGACTCTGAGTTCAAGCCTCACAACTGACAACAATACACACACACACACACACACACAGTTGGGTACCAGTGGCTCATACCTGTAATGTGTGTGTGTGTGTGTGTGTGTGCGTGTGCACACACACACACGTGCACTGCTCCCGAGGCTTAACTCAGAGCCTAAACACTGTCCTTGACCTTCTTTGTGCTCAAAGCTAGTACTCTACCACTTGAGCCAGTGTCACTTCTGGCTTTTTCCAAGTAGTTTATTGGAGATGATTTTCACAGTCTTCTCTGCCCTGGTTTGCTTTGAACCTCAATCCTCAGATCTCAGCCTTCTGAGTAGCTAGGATTACAGTGGTGAGCCACCAGCACCCAACTGTGTGAGACTTATTTTTTTTTTTTTTTGGTGGGTCGTGGGACTTGAACTTTGGGTCTGGGCACTGTCCCTCAGCAATTCAGCTCAAGGTTAGTGCTCTACCACTGGAGCCACAGCACTTTCTTGCCCGAGCTGGCTTTGAATCATGATCCTCAGATCTCAGCCTCCTGAATAGCTAGGATTACAGGTATGAGCCACTGGCATCCGGCAAGTACTATTTTTTTGGGTCTTTTTTTATCTTTTTTTTTTTTTGTCAGTCGTGGGCCTTGAACTCTTGGCCTGGGCACTGTCCCTCAGCTCTTCAGCTCAAGGCTAGCGCTCTACCACTTGAGCCACAGCACCCACTCCGGCTTTCTCTGCTTATGTGGTGCTGAGAAATCAAACCCAGGGCCTCATGCATGCAAGGCAAGCACTCTACCACTGAGCCACCTTCCCAACCCCTATGGCTTATTTTTAACAGAAAGAACAAGTTCGCTTTCAGCAAGAACCTCTTGGTTCCCCACCCCTGCTAGGCCATTTATATAAGGCCTTTGAAATCATTTGGTACATTATGGGACAGACATGCTTCTTGTTGGCTACCCTCAGCCTATCTGTCTGTATCGATAATTTTGTATGGCCCAAGAATTATGTTAAAATTATCCAAATGGCTGGACACTGATGTCTCATGCCTGTAATTCCAGCTACTCAGGAGGCTGAGATCTGGGTATCACAGTTCTAAACCAGCCCAGTAAGGAAAGTCTATGAGTCTAGCTCTAATTAACCACCAGAAAACTAGAAGTGGATCAAAGTGGTAGAGCACTAGTCTTGAGCAAAAAAGCTCAGGGACAGCTTCTAGGCCCTAATTTTAAGCCCCCTGACTAAATAAATAAATAAATAAATAAATATCCATATAGCCCTTGACAGAAAAGTTTTCTCATCCTTGTAGTATAATATGATTGTTTTCATACTGGTTCATTCTTTGGTTTGCTCTAAGGCAAATGGAAGGTTCTTGTTGAGTATAAGGCAGGGGGTTCTGTAGCAGCTCAGAATATAGGTCCTTGCTAAGATTCACAGAGGGGCCAGGCGCTGGTGGCTCACGCCTGTAATCCTAGCTACTCAGGAGGCTGAGATCTGAGGATCGCGGTTCAAAGCCAGCCCGGGCAGG